TTTGACAAAATTTTAAAATATTTTAAAGAACTTTTAAATGACAGAAGCTGACCAATAGATGGTGTTGGATAGGGAGTTTTCAGTGTCACTGAGAAAGCTCTAGTACAAGTTGCCAACAGGTCCAACACAAACACAGACTATGTCAGAGCCTTCACTGAGATGGTGGAAATGGAACATGTGCTAGAAGGAACTCCTTCAGTCTCAGGGTATTCAGGGCATCAAATTGGTCAAAAGAAGCACTTAATATTGAGCCTGGAAATTGTCTGGTAATCAATGCAGTAAGGAGCAATGTTATGATTTTGCTACCACATGCCAGCTGTCAGATGCTATTAAATGTTGACTACCACTATTACTTGGAGGCATCAAATTCTATTGATGAACATAAAATATCTGCCAAATATTTGCACAGCCAGAGATTTGTTGGCAAATTTTCAACAAAATCAGCAGAGATGGCTCAGCTCTAGTTTCTTATATTACTATTTAAAACAAAAAACTAAAAAATAAAACTAAGTTGCCGGAATTGTTTCCAGATTTTTCCCAATATGAAAAATGTAAGGGAATAGTTGCCACCATAATCTTAACAAATATCCTTTTGTATTTAAAAATGCTGATGCAGGTCATTTAATTCCATTGAGCTGAATGGGAAAGCCATGTGAGTGAAGATCTATCTCCACATAAGCCCTTCCATAGCTAGGCGGCCTTATTACAGCAATTACAATTTTATCCATTATCAAAAGGTACAAAACATTAATTAGTGGTATTTCAATGATGTAATGACAATGTTCCGGCCACATTTTATCTTAAATTATGTAATATCAATTCAACGTTCAGCTGTAGGACCGTTTTTCCACACTTAAGGCTTAGACATTTTGTGAAAAGATCCTAAAAGGTATAGAAGGACAATGCACATGAGGAGTTCATGAGATTAAAAGGCTTTGAAGGCAGTGTAAAAGGATTATTACAAAATAACCTTTTACATAAATAGACACCCACATATATAATCAAATGTCCACTGCAAGTTAATAAAATGAATGTATGGCTTGCCAACAGACTCGAATAATTTGGCAACAAATTTCTGTGTTTGCTGGTTTGTATTTGCTTAATCAGACCAAGATTTATAGGAATGCCTTGTTCTGATAGATGAAGGCATAGAAGATCTATGAAACATGAGGAAGGGGCATGTAGAGCCAAACTCTGTATACTCAATGATGCCCCACAAAACTTTGTATTATAACCAAGATGTTTATCTACAGATGCACACCAAAGGAAGAATCCTGTGACTACAGAGCTATAACTTGTGACTGGCTTTAAAAAAAGGCATCCTTGTGACTAGCTTTAAAAAAGCATCACCTAATGCTTCATAAAATCTGATTTTCCTTGATCCCACAATTTTGCTTGGGACCACTCTGATTGAAATATTTGCCATTGACACTAGGGGTTTGTTTGCCAGGGCTGAAACATCTGCACAGAGCCATACTGAGTATTCGGCTGTCCTGCATACAAATGATGAGCCACTATGCGCCACTTTGGCATGTACTTACCAATGGCAAAAACAGAGCTGCACCCAAAAGGATCCAGGCAACAAAGAGTGGAGGTACGCATTCACTCAGCCATGCTCTGCCATTATGCAAATGCACCACTGAAGAAGGGGCACTTGACATTGGCAGCATTTTGAAAATGTAGGAGTCCACCTATTTAGTAACAATTGCATGTTAAATCTTATTTCATGCAGTACTGAGATGAAGACATTATCCCAAAATGAAAAATTGTGCTGGCACACAACAGCCTGTTCCATTTTCAGAGCAAACCGCCTGGCTGTAACATTTGTGCATTAGCTAAATAACATCTCAAGGGGAGCTGGAGATACAACCTTGATGTCTCCTGATTGTACATGTGTGAGTTTGTGCTCTCAAAGGATGGTCCTTAAAACGTTCCCTGCTGGAAGCTTTTGTGCATATTGTAAAAGGACCATTGCTAAGTACCAATTGAGCCAGTTCTGTATACTTGCCATTTTTAAAAAGAAGATTTCATACCACTTGATTATGTTAAATAGGAATGTTTGAAATTTAGACTGAATTACATCAAAATGCCACTGTAGCAGCTATTCTTTCCATAACTAATCTCAATCCCTTCTGGTGGATGGTTTTATGTGTAACAGTGACAAGACATATTACTGGAGATGTTTAGAGAGCCTTGATATTAAAAAATTCCTAAAGACATACAATAATAGAACACAAGTATGTGCTCGTATTAATAGGAAAAAATGACTCTTTTAAGGCCAACGGCATTTCCTATGCAGCTCAAGAGCCAACCAAGAAAAGACAGCTGGTTTCATCTTGAAATCCACCATTGTACAGAATTGCCTACACCTGGCAGGGAGATAATAGTTTTGCCTGAATACTTTCCATTGTTTCTGTTCCTAATCTGTTCTATCAGAAGAGAGTACCGGTCACCTAAACTGTCTGTAGGGCTACCCTGGGGCCAGGATGTCGGTGAGCATCCATGCCCTGCCAACCCAGCATCCCTCATGCCCAGCTAGTTCCAAGACCATCTCGTACTGAGTGCAAACTTCTGCAACATGGCTTGTGAGTTTGGCCAAACGCACCTACACAGCTCCTGTGGGTAAAGCAGGGTTTCCGGTTGCAGGACCAGTATCAGTCAAAGGGCCCCATTGTGTCTGGTACAGTGAAGAGCAAGGCAGCCAAGAGTGGAAAGAGAAAAGGTTACTAGGAGAAGCTAATGTTAATAATAAAGAGAAGCCCTATCAATGGCAGAGGCAATGGTAAGAAAAGGGCCAAGGGCAAAAACCAGGCAGAAAGTCTCTCTCTCACCCACAACACAAACATGAGGCCTTCTTTCATGCTCTGTTTCTCATGCACATGTAATCAGATGCCATGCACACACAAACAAGGCCTTCTCTCACTCTCATGCATGTATACACTTATGCACTTACACCAACACAAAAAAGAGTTTCCTTCTTACACACACACGCGCGCGCGCACACACACACGTGCAAGACACTTTCTGGAGGTCTCTGGGATAGCAAGCACTTGCTCACAAACATCCTGTCCCCAGTTTGGTCCTATATATGATACGGGCAAATGCTTGTCTAGGGATTTCACTGAGGCTAGATCTGGGAAAAGGATCAGAAGCCTCCTGGGCTTCTTGTGTGAATGAGTGCTCTGGTATATAAGTCAGTGGAATGCCAGTGATGATTTCACAAGTGTGTACCCATGGGCTAGCTTTCTAGAGAGGTGTTCTTAGGTGGCACTTTATTTAGCAACCTAAATAAGTACTGCACATGCAGTGCACTAGTGTAATTTAGGAAGGAGTTTTGGGACATCTTCCCACATTTACAACTTCCTTGGGGCAAAGCTTCCCAATCTGCCTATGTCAATGGCAGGTGGAGCCCATTTTTTCTGGTAGGGTAGAAGGCAGAAACAGGAGTAACGGGTGAATTTAATGGCAATAGGAATAGGCAGAAAACATTACAATATTCAAAAGAAGGGAAGGGAAGGGAAGGGAAGGGAAGGGAAGGGGGCCATGGATTTGCAAGGAGTCACTCACACACTGGCTTCTTGCAAACCTCTCTTTTAGTCTTTTGGAATAATGAAGCAAAAACTCAAACTCCCACTTCCTGTGATCCCAGCTGGCTAGTAACCTGCTTCTACAGTTCTTCACTGCTAAATATGTGCGCTCACTCTCTCCCCCCCCCCCCCTTCCTTTCTCTGGATTTGGAGACCGATACAAGCAGAAATGCAACAACATGGTTGGCAGGAGGCATCGTGTGTTAAAAACCTATTAACAAACGGACACATGAGTGTGTCCCGATGAGTTTTGGGCAAAACTGGACAAAATTCAGGACCAAACTGGAGGAATTGGGCAGCATGTCTGGAAGGAATGTTCTGTTTGACTTAAAGTCTATGGAACCCACATAGGATCCTGAGCAAGTACAGCAAGGGCACCATGAGAGGACAGAGCGCTAAGTGTTAATGCAAATGCAGCAACCTGTAGTCAAGAAGAAAGCAGGTGCTAAAGAAGTTGCTTAATGCAATGTATCTACATAGCGGGGTCTGGGGACGGGAGAAAGACTAGAGGGGTAGGCAGAAGGGCACCACCCCTTGCCATTAGTAAGAAATCACCTCTTTGATTTTGGGTGTATTCTTCAAAGCCAGCTTATTCTGCTTATTTAAGGAAATTTTAAACAGTTCACTCTGAAAGGGAAATGGGTCTAGACTAGATGGAAGATCTGTGTAAGTTTGGGCTGTAACAGAAAGTTGGAGAAGAGCGTTTGCAAGTTGTGCAATGGTGGAGATTTTTCAGAGTAAGAGTCTAGAACTGAAAATGTCCACCTCATTCAACATTATGCTAGAATGGCGATGTGCTTGTCTAAGCAGTGTTTCATTCTAAAAAGAATGCTGATCTACAAGTCCCTGCCCACACAAAACACTAGTCCTGACCCAAAAAACTACGGAGTCAGCAGAAGACTACTGCAACCACTGCTAATCTAAGCTTAGTGTCCTATGCTGGGCCAGACCAAAAGTTCCTCTGGTCTAAAACTCACTTCTAACAATAACCAAGTAGATGCTGCCGGGAAGTTGACAAGCTGAAATTGAAGGCCAGCATTTCATGCTGTTTCCAGCATTGAGCTATGTCCCTGTTGATAAGTACATTGCCATGGCCAAAGATAGGCCCATGTATTCTTGTTGAACCAACTCTTTTGCAGCCGTCTAAGTGGGTGACCATTCCCATATCTTCTGTCAATAATTTAGATATGTTTTACAATAAGTGAAGAATTATTTCTCACTAATCTGGCTGCCAATCAATTTCATTTGCTGGCTTCAGGTTTGAGGGGGGTGTGTGTGTGTGTGTGTGTGTGACAGAGAGAGAGAGAGAAAATTATGTCTGTGATCTTTGAACACTGTTCATAACTAGAGTTGGTGAGGTATAAATGATTAAGAGACTTAGGAATCTGAGTTCTCTTCCCTGTTTGGCCAAGAAGCTCACTGAGTGACTTTGGGCTTCTCACAGACTCTCAGGCTGGCCTACCTTACATGGTTGTTGTAAGGAAGGTGAACTTTGGAAGCTGCTTTTAGATTCCTTGTAAGAGGAAGAAAGGAGGAATACAAATGCAATCTGATGATAATTCTAACTACAAGCATCCCCAAATTATATGACATCAGATTTATACTGGTGTGGTATAAAAATACTTTACCAAATGAAATTATTTCCAAGAGGCTTGCTTATAGCTCATACAATCTGTCCATATGCGGAAACCTCTTTTGACAAAGACTGTATTATTTGGAGTGGTAAAGCTGAGTTCTATACAGCATTAGCGGGAGAAAACCAGAAGAGTAACAAAGAAAGAAGCAGAGAGCAGCCCTGCTTATTTAGGTGAAGAATGCAGAACAATTAGAAGTCCTAGGTTTATGAAAGCATTAATTATGTATCGTTACCATGTAAGAGGCATCCGGGTTAGGATTTATAAGGGAGCAGTCAAGTATGTACCATCTACTAGACACAGCCCAACCAAAGGAATAGAATATGTGCAATACTTCCACTCTGTGGATTGCGTTCTGTGCCATCATAGTAAAGGTACATGGTACTAAAAGCACGGACTATAAGAAGTCATAACAAATGAGTGATGAAAGCTCAGAATATGTAGGGTACTATTGTACTTTAATAGAACACTCACACACTGAAATATTTAAAAATGTATAGATTTGAAATAATAAAGAAAATCCTTTTTTACATTTTGCTTTGAATTTTTATGCTGAATTTTATTGAAGCACACTTTTTAAAATCAGTCATTTTAGTATCCATTTTTATCAAATTATAATCCCTTATCACTTAATAATAGAGGAGCAGAAGCTTTTTAAGCACATAACAACTGTGACATTTTGATGGAATTTAGTTGGAGTAATAGTTTTATCAAATCATATATTTCTTTTCTTTTTCTCCCCCCTAAAATACCATTTATTAAAACATTATCTACAATTGTAAGCTATGGCATAGTAAAGAAAATCTCATCCTGAAAACACCAGCCCCACCCTTGCTTGAAATCATGAGTCAATCACAACACATTACACTAAGTGCTGGCATGCTTTTAGAAATAAGAGATTTTGTATAAACATTAGTAGACTCTGTTTGGAAAACAGAATTCCCAGGCAGCATCCCACCAGTTACTCTTATGCACCCCCTTCTACCTCTAATTTTCAAATGCTTTGCAGTCTTCACTGGGTTTGTTCTCACAACAGCCCTCTCAGGTAGACTCCAATTATATTGCCATTTCACCTCCACCAGGTGCTCATGAAATAAAATCACCTAATCAGTCAAACTCGTATGTCTAACACTTTTTTATCCTACTATAAGTGATGGGTCAGAACTTGCAAGCCAAGTGTGTCATAACCTGTTCCTGTGGTGCTAAGAACAGATTTATCAAAAACAACTTTGGCTCAGACACTGAAGTCCTATACTCGGGGCAGCTCACAGTAAGCATTTCAGTAAGTGGTCTTACACAATGAAAGGCATCATAATAATGGAGGCCACCTTGTCATTCTTGCTTTCAAACATGGAAAGACCTTCCCAAATAAGTATCAGATGGGACGTAGAAGACATTCAGAATAAGGATCTTATTGGCCAAGAAAGTTTGTACCCCAAGAGCTCTTGCCTTTCAGGCAAAACATAAATTGAGACCAGCTTGCCAAATGCATCTTTGCATGCAACAAGGAACAACATACATTAGCTAGTGTCAGGTGTACACTTGGATGCAGTAAAATATCAACAACTGTTCCTTCTGGACATCATTCTCTCTCTCCTATTTCATCCTGAAGCTGCTCATATGCTAAAAGCAAATTTTGCAAGAATCTGGCAAAATCTGAAAGTAGTGCTCCCAGTATCCTGAAAACCCACTAGAGCATATTTGGATTTTTTTTCTGGGTTACAAAACTTTTAGGTGAACTCTTTATCTTTTAAGATACAGTCCCAGTGGTCATTTTGAGCCTAATTTGTACATTCTTTCTCTTTCTAGAAATTATTTTTGGAGGGGCCAATAATGTAGCTCAAACAATTTTTCTGATTTGGGACATTGTTGAATGTAATCTTAACTTTAAGAACCTATTGTTTGTGGATTGCCCAGTAATGTAAAATTATCATTACTATAAAAGTTTGCGTGTGTGTGTGTGCCAACAATAACCCTTCAATGTCACTTCGGTTAAGTGATAGTTACTTGCCCAATGCCATCCAATGAGCTTCACAGGTGAGATAGGAATGACCCTGACCCAGATTCAACCTCTGGTCAAGTTCATTCCTGGCTCTGCTATAACATGAGATGGTAACTCTGAATTTCCTATTGTCAATAGACAGAGGCACAGTTTGTCTGAATTATTCGACATACACGAAAAATTCACCTGATGCAAACACTCACTATTTAGGCTGGAAGACCTTCCTTGACTCACTTGCAATTGCAATCAAGTGAGGAATAAGCAGAGGTGCTTCGTCCTCTTTAAAGAATAAGGCTAGGAGACAAGACACCGTGTCCTAAAGCAGTGGTTCTTAAACGGTGGGCCAGGACCCATGAATGACTCACTGCTTCTGTGCTGCATGCTGATCAGTGCCGGTTTGCTTGATCACCCTGTGCCAGGTCACACACATGGCATAAGTAGGCATGGCAGCACAAACAAAGCTAGTATTAATAATAATAAGGAAAGAACAGAAAGGAATAAGAGAGAGAAGCTGTTATCGGAAGAAGTGCATTTAAAAGTAACAGAAGGAAGAGATTAAAAAACTGGGTAGTGTACAAATTAAATGTGGAAGAAGAGGAGGAGGAGGAGAAATGACAGAAGATGGGCAAAATGACTTTGAAAAGAATGTGGTAGAGAAGAGAAAAACAATGTAAGCAACTGTCTTTACTTAGAGTTCAGGCTCTTATCCTGTTTGGGTTGGTGGGCACATGTGGGATTTTCAGGAAGTGTTATAGGCACTCTCCCAAATATAGGCTGCTGTGGTGAGTCTTATTCATAAAATGGCAATGGCCAGTCCAAAAACATCCATTTTCCTGGAGGATGAGCCTAACAGGAAAGTAATTAATCCAAGAACCTAACGCAAGGCAGAGGTGGGGGTCTAAGATCCAAAACACAAATCCATTTTTGAAATCCGAAAGGGATGGTGCTAGAGTGTAGCATTTTGCTTGGTAGCATACCAATCCCCCAGTTAAAAATAATTTTAAATACACTTAAGAAATACAGTTAAAAGCAGGAGACGCAGGGAAGCTGGTGGGTGCCAACATAATGGATCTCATGTTGTTAAACAAAAATTAAAGCCTCTGGAGCAACCGATTCTCCCCAGAATGGAAAGACTGAGTAATGATACCTCCACATTATCAAAAGCAAAGTCACATGAAGATTAAAGTGGCTGCCACATGAGGGTGTCTTGGCCTAACAACGAGTGGGCTTAGTAAAGCTCTGGCAGTGGAAGCTGCGAGTCATAACTTACATTCTTCTCCAAAGCAGAAGGCAATAGTATTGGCAATTTTCTGCCACACATGTAATATTAACAATGCACCAATGTACACCAATCAACAAGGTGGAGAGACTGAAAAATGGAAAGGGGGGAGGAGTAAAAAGGAGAAAATTGTTAAGTTATAAGACACATCTCACTGATGAAGTGGAACTCTACAAAGAAAGTTCTCCGTGATATATTTGCAGCAGTATCCAAAACAGCATTGAGCAGGAGGGTGCTTCTCCTGCCCCTGAAAGCATATGGAATAGATACAAATTTGGGGTTTGTTAGAAAGTTTCATCCATTGTGTGGTTCACCCCCAGCATCCATGTGTCTGCCTGCACAGGGACCGTGAAGAAATGTAGGCATGACATATTTCTGAGCCTGTAGAAACATTATAGCCACTTACTAATGGGTCCCCGCAGCTGTCTCCCCATAGTATGAGGTAAAAGGGTTGTCAGGTCAGATACCTGTGGCTGACATCTCTCTGTTTAGGAGTACATATTTGAAGAAGAACTTCTAATTATCTGTGTTCTGCTTTACATAGTACATGAACAGAATACTTTGTTCTGAAAGATCTTATAGGAATATTTCATGTGATTTGCATTTGCTTGTTTAAACATGGTAAAAACACTGAGATAGTCCTCAGTTCTATGTTTAGATGAAAGTATGTGTGCTTTGTTTATTTCATAATGACATGTTGCAGAGCTGTATTTGTATTCTTCCATGTGTCTCCTCAGAAGAATTTAAGCTTGGGAATTTTGTTACACTGCTTTTAATAGCTCTCAGTTGTTTGGTTTTTTCCACAAGACAACGAACAGACCACAGCTTGAGTGCTGTGTGCAAATATTCATGCACTGGAGTTGCAATGGATACAAAACCCAGAATTTGGTCAATTATTAGATTAGAGTTTTCCTTAACCATACACTAGGATTAAAATGCCATTATAGCTATGCTGTGATGGAAGACAACCACTAGAATGTGACAGATTTTTAACAAGGAGAGGGTAACTTTGCATTATTTTCCATTATTCTTACTCTCTTTGTCAAGGAATGGAGCCATGCTGTGCCATTCTGTTCTGGGTATCAGAGCATGAGTCTGATACACTGGAATTTGAATGCCTCATATTCTGAAATGGATAATGGTTGCACTTGATTTCTTTCACCTCTCGGTTTTCAGCATTTTGATAGGCAAGTGCCACTTCACCCTAAGGATCTCTGTTGACCTTTAGCACAGTGGGGTAGTTTTAGTGATGGATTTATTCTTATGGTCCCTGCTTTCCTGGGTGGAGGTGGCATATTAAAGCACATTTCTTACATATTCACTATGGCATTCTGAATATTACATTTTTCTAATATTTCCATCAGTTTTGCAGAACAGGTAAAATAGTGCATTTACAAGGTTGTTGGTTGGGTGGTTGGTTTGTTTTTAAGGAAGTACCTTTCTGCTACACCACTAGAGATATTTAAAACCCATGCTAGTATTGTATTATATTTAGCATATTTTTTTCTCATGCTAAATAATTACATAAAATATTTTGCTGAGCACTCCTCAGACATTGGGAAAAAATGAAAAAAGAGGGTTTCAGGAAGGAATGGTTATAAATATTGAAAAGACTGTGATTTCTGTTTTGGAGAGAGGAAAGTTTGTGGTGTGTTTTTTATGGAAATATAGAGAAAAGGTGAAATTATGCAATACTTTATCAAACTGAGTTGACTACTTTAAGGCTGTAATTTTGTACCTAATTACCTGGATATAACCCCATTGAACTCACTGGGGCTTATTTCTGCATAGATATGTATAGGAGTACATTTAAGATGTTGAAGTACTCTTTGTTTTAATTAAGAAATAAAATTGTACTATTTGCTATGTGTGTGTGTAAAACATTTGAAATTGGTTCCTCTGTGTCACTACTGAGAGTGTTGCTGTTTCAAAGTCTAAATACCATAATTTTATTCAAACAATAATTACAAATGTACAATACCTTTTTCACAATGCTTAAAATATGGACATTATTAGAGATGGAGCTGCTAGCTGCTGGACTTTAAGGCTGCAATTCCAAACCTATTTAGTAGAGAGTAAGTACCACTAAATATATATTTCTGAGAAAACAAGTGGCTGTTATGTTGCATGCTGCTTTAGATTTCCACTTCGGAAACACAGGAATAAAATCATGGAAAAAGAATCAGTGAAAATTGTAAGTCATCTGAAGGAAAGTTTTCTTTACAGGCTTTATTATCGATGCTTATAAAAAGTAGGATGGATTTAAAAATACAGCTTAATATACCTAAAGATTGTGTTTTCCAAATAGCTGATTCCATTGCAAATATCTGAAAATGGTGTTAAAGCAGTTTGTGATAATCCATTGGGGTCTGCAATAAATGTTTGTAAACCACCCAGAGAGCCCTCTGGGCTATTGGGGTGGTATATAAATGCAATAAATAAATAAAATAAAAAAGAAGAGACAAGCCAAAACGCATTCCTCCACCTTTGACTGCCTAAAACAATTCCTTGAAATGTGGCCAGTATGAAAGCCTCAGCTTTATCACACAGAAGCTTATTTTTAGAAAACAACCCCATGCAATTAAGAGTAGCAATACTTTTGATCCAAGTGAACTTGACAGTAACATTTTAACTCTTCACTTGCGTATAGTGATCCTGTATAGTACAACAGCTGAATTCAGGTAAACTTCTAAGCAAATACAACTAGGGTTAGGTCAAAAGTGTCATAGAATCTCTAGATATAATTGCTAGCATATTTATTTATTTCCCTCCAGCAGAGTTCATACTATAACACTGAAATACCAGCATAACTGGTATGTATTTATTTATTTTTCTGATCAGAATCATTACCTGAATAAACCAGAGGTTCTGATTCTGATCTTTCACTTTGACATTGTGAGCCTCAGAAGATTGGAACAAGCTTCTCTGCTCTTAACTGGATATGTGAAACTCCAGCTCTTTCATTTGGAGAATGGAAGAATCAGAAGCAAGTGACAAGCAGGCTATGTCAGAGGCTGCGTTGTGCCAAGGGAACTGGCACTGTTGCAGGAATATTCTGCTTGGCAAATACAAAAGTACTCCTGGACTAAATACCTGAAGATATTTCGGATTCAGGCTTTCTAAAAAGTGTTTCCAGCATCAAATCCTAAGTGTCCTGCTTGTTTATTAACCAGTCCCATACAGGAGCAGTGCTACAATCACAAGATAATTGTATTTGAATATATGAATTGGTTGTCACGTACACATGTGTGCATACCGCATGATCTCACTTATGATTCTGATAGGCAAAATACAGTACCAACATGTGTTTTTCAGTGTTTCCATTTGTATTGATGCGAGCTATTGTATTGCAATACTTTACTGCGAATAAGCTATTTTTGACCCTTTTGGTGCTTCATAACCACTAAGGGTGCCATTTATAGTGTGTGTGAATGAGTGTGTGTGTGAATAGTACCCATAAGGGGGTATAACCTTTGAAACAAAAACAGACCCAGTTGTCCTATAGCAACTCACTGTAAAATGGGGAGTGTTTACTCCACACTTTTCATTGTTACTTGGCCTCCAGTTTCAAAACTTACTTATACCACATAATAAATCTGTTAAAGTAAACAATATTATTTGTTTTACCAAATATCTGCTGTTAGCAGCAAGACTTTATTCAGTTCCCTATTTAAAACTCAGACTAGCAGCAGCTCTTGAGTTTTTAAAAGATGTTGCCGTGAAGAATCTTTCACTTCCAGCTTGAATCTCTTTGCCAGTCAGTGTCTGTTCTGCTCTTGGGTCAAAGAGGCCAGAAAGAAAAAGATATTGCCATCTACAAACAGTCATGTTTTCCCTTCTGCTGGATTCATTATAGTAATTGATGCTGACTTAATCTTTGGTACTTAAATATTTATCACAATTGAAAGAGCTCTGTCCTGATTTTTGACTATCTTTTTAAGAGGCAAGGTAACAAACTAGTCCAAAAGAAACACCTACTGATGTCATTCGCAGGTTTTGCTTGTATGTACGATTCTAGTTGCAGTGTCAGTCTGTCCTACTTTAGACAGGATATTCCTCTGTTTGAAGGCAGCCTCGAAGTTAAAGCCTGTCCGTTAACTTTCTTATCTTTATTAACGATAAAGAACTGCAAGACTAAGGAGCAGCAGCCCTTAAGTTTCCCGTCAGTACATTGTGCCTGGATATCAGACCGAATGGGCACACAGTCTTCCTTAATGTGCTGATATGTGCAGTATTTCCATTTAAATTATAGTAATTATTTCTAAATATGCATCTGTGCATATAAATTAGTGCATCATTTTTCCTGATACACTTTTTTTCCATTGGAGATTCCCAACTAGCCATCCTTGTTCTAGTCCCATTCCATCTGCTGTCAGTGAAAAGATAAAACAAAAATTCTTTATTATGTTTCCTTCTAGGACATGCTCGTTTTTTTCACATATTGGCGATAAAAGCCATGCGTGCTGATTTTGAAGCTCAGTTACTGCATCTCATCATATCTGTTTGTTTTTCTACAACTGCTAGGAATCCTCCTAGCGAGAGCCATTCAGTCTCCCATTTCTTCCTATTTAGGAATCTGAATGTTGCTGTCTCTTGAGCAAAAGGCAGCCAATGAAT